GCGGTGTGGACCTCCGGTGGGAGGAGAAGCGGAACCTAATGCCGCCGCGTTCGGACATCCTCTTCTACACATATATCCCTCCCTCCCCCCTTCCCCCCCTTTTCTCTTTCAAACACACAAACCGGACCACCCCCTCTCTCGCGTGCTCACTAACTTCACACACGCTGTCGGGGCCACCCCCTACCTCCCCCTTACCACGTTAGTGCGGATATCGATCAGGTCAGACAGGTCGTTCAGAAGGACGCTGAACTCGAAGAAGGACCTGAAGAGGGGTACGGGCTCGTAGGCAATTACCCTGGGGGGCAGGGGAGGGGGAGGGGGTTATGTATGTCTGTATGTCTGTATGTATGTCTGTATGTATGTTGTTACAGGGTGGTTAACTTCGCCAGCGGCCCCCTTTCCCGGGGCAGTCCCTGCTCTCCCCTGCTAGAGGGGCACCCTAATCCGTCACCCCATCCGACTTCAGAATGTATTCGTTGGGTTCGGCAACTCACCACCAGCATCCAACCAAATCTAGCGGATCAACGGCGCATCAACTTAGTTCCTGGTCAGCTCGCAAGTTGATATTATCACGTCCTACACCGTCCATAAGATGGGGGGCCACCTCCCATTTCATCACTCCTCAAACACCCGAGGAGCCGGCAGGCGGATTTGAACCCGGGTCGACTGGGTCAACTGGGAGCAGAAGTCAGGCCTTAACCTCTGCCAGCCGCCTGCCTATATGTATGTCTGTATGTATGTATGTATGTATGTATGTATATATATATGTATGTATGTATGTATGTCCCGGCGTGGCACTACTGCAGGAGCGAGACGGCGTCTCCCCCCCCGGCAGCTATGCTATAGGGCGCCGAGTAGCGCCAGCAGCAACTAAAGCGACATCCGCGGCAACGACGACCCAACGTGTCAACAAAGCATAGAGGATAGCAATATCAGTAGCAACAGCTTCCGCAGCAAGTACCCGCAGCAAGTACCCGCAGTAGTACCCGCAGCAAGTACCCGCAGCAAGTACCCGCAGCAAGTACCCGCAGTAGTACCCGCAGTCCGTCGGGGTCCCCGCCCTGCTCACCTGCACCCCAGTCGGGCCGCCAGCAGCGCGAACCAGCCGAAGTTGGCTCCCACATCCACGAAGAGGGCCCGACCGCCGTCCGGCTTCACACAGCGCTCGTGGAGCAGCTTGTAAGTAATCTGGATGGAGCGGGGTGGGGGGATGTGGGTGGGAGAGGGGTGGGGGTAGGAGGGGTGGCGGTGAGGAAGAAATAATGCACCAAAACACGCACATGAGATGTATCAATACGGACTGTCTTAGGAGTTGAGGGTGGGTGGTGCGGTGGTTGGTGTGAG